CATACCATAATTGATCCGAGATTGTCCAATCGGTCATGCCAAACTTTGACGGTATTATCATACCTTTTATTTTCAATATCATGAGATTCAATCATTCTAATATACAATCTGGAGAATAATACAGGTAATTTTTTTTAAAAAACTTTTTTTACCCGATATCATTTTTGTAATACCGAGATAATTTTTATTACCATCATTACTTGTTTCAATATGATATCCGTTAGACCGAATATCCTTAAAACTTAATAAATTTCTTGATGATTTTAATGAAAATAATGCATCACCAATTGTAATTATTGTCACTTGTGGTAATACTATATTCGCTCTTCCAAAGCCTTCAATCTTGGTGATTTAGACGAAAATAATGCATCGCTAATTTGTAATTAGCGTCCCTTGTTATAATATTATATTCGCTCTTTCGGAGCCTTCAATCATTTTTTGCATTAACTGTTATTATATTAACATTTGCTTCTCTAATTGATACGTAAGCAAAATATTTTTCATTATTAAAAATGTTATGTGTTATTGTAGTGTTTGCAAGAAATATATCTTCATTATTTCTTTTGCAAATATCCATAGCTATTTTCAAAATATAAATAAAACATAAGAAACATTCAACTTAGAGAAATAAATTCATATTTTATTTCATTGATAAGATTGTGATGACATCATTTCTCACAATATGAATATGACATAAAAACATAATAAATGACATGAAACAAAACTACACATTATTCTTCAATCACCATCAATATCACCACTTGTCCCTTCTAGGTAGACAAGAAAATCAGCAACATCCAAATGTGTCATTTCTGGTTGATCTTCATGAATATCACTTTGAATAAAATTTGTTTTGAAGTTTTATTTTTCTTTAGATTTTAGATAAGTTTGGTATAGATCAATAAAATGCTTTGGTAAGTGGCATGTACAAGACCAATGATCGATCATTCCACATCAGTGACAAACATTTTCAACTTTTTTTTCCTTGACTACTTTATCATTAGGATGTGGATTTTTGCTATTTTCCAACTTCCGGTGGTTACTTATAATCTTGTTATTTTTATGATAATTAAGATAACCTCCACTGCCTCGGTTAGACCCATGACTATTATGATTATATAATGTTGCATTCACTTAAGGGAATGCACTAGAACCGGTTGGGATTGATTGGTGATTTTTCATCAATAACTCATTGTTTTGTTAAGCCACAAGTAGATATGAGATTAATTCATATTTATTTTAAACATTTCTCATGATATTACTACTGAAGGAGCATGTTAGTAGTATGAAAACTAGAGAAAGTTTTCTCTAGCATTGTTTTCCAGAATGAAAATAGAAATCAAAATAAAGACTTGTATGTTAAGGAACTGTTAGTTAAGAAATTTCATAAAATAAGTTGTAAGCATTGTACATGTAAAATTATAAAAAATACATACCTGAAAATGACAAGAACAATAAGGAGTTAGAGCTCTATGGTAGAGTCGTGCCGATAACGTGTTATTAAATATGATTAAATAACAAGATAAATGATAAAGTAAATAAAGACATGATAGTGGAGAGAACTTTTTATTCCAATATTTGTGATGAAATCATCAAACTTTACAATACATGATATTCACTATTTATAGTAGACAAAGAAGATGAAAGGTGATGCATGATATGAATGCTCATTATACTGGTGCATAACTACACTCATAAAACTCATAATAATGTTTGCCATAATGTTCACTAATTATGGAGAGTAATGGGTGAATATAGAGAATATAATAGTTATTCACTAAATAATAATTCATAACAGATTTATTTATTTATTTATTTATTTATTATTATTATTATTATTATTATTATTATTATTATTATTATTATTATTATTATTATTATTATTATTTTTATGAAAAAATGGAAGTGGATGGTCTTAACGGGCAGATATGAAAGCCCGTACGAAAAAACAAAAGACATGCTATGTCCTAACCTCTAAAGGCTTAAACTTTTTCTCTTCAGGGGACTGTCCAGCCACGCTACTAGAACTCCGACGTCACTGTCCCAGACCTCCGTTGCCCACCCTTCTAGACCTCCGGTCCGACAGCAAGGCATCAGGTTTGACTTTCATTTTCTCCTGTCGCTGAAAAAAAGGGGGTGTTTGGTTTAGCTTTTCACATCCCAAAAGACCTTTTTGGAAAAGAAAAAAAAAGCAAAAGATGTTTGGCAAAACTAGTTTTAAAAGCTACTTCTGGAGTTTTTATACAAGGAAAAGAAACTTTTTGGAAAAGTCAGGATTTCCTGACTTTTTGTAACTTTTCCAAAAAGGACTTTTGGGCTGTGAAAAGCTAAGCCAAACACCCCCAAAAAAGACACGCTATGCTGAAATCTTGCTGATTTCTTTTATTTCTGAAATATTGCTGATTTGTGATTCTTTCTTCTCCAATAGTCTGAAATCTTGCTGATTTGTTATATTATCAAAATGTTGCTGTGAAATCTTTTCTGAAATTCGACCGCTCTTAAATTTTCTGAAATCGAATTTTTGAAATTGAGTTTTTGAAATCGATTTTCGCATAACCATGCATTCCTAGCTCAACCCAAGTGTCGTTTCAAGAACATTACCGACTATTACAGGCTCCCCTTTTGACCAATCCAGGTTGAATGTCTATTGCCGCCGAAAGCAGAGCTTTACATGACTGCTGATCACCATCATTACTTTATTTCACAAAATCTGAACAAGTGCAATGTTGCTCAAGCATCTCTCGCATATCTTATCTTTCGGTTTATGCATCTTTAAGAGCTTTTGTGTTTCATCCCCAATTCAAAAATTGAAGTTTTACATCAATTACTGCATACATAAGGTAGTAAGAAAAATAGGATATCATTATATGTAAACCCTCACATACTTGCACAAACATTACAATGACATACCAATTTATTTATCCCAAACACCTTTTAAAATACTAAAAAAATAATTTGGATCATGATTACCTCAACAAATGTACTCTCTTTACCAAGAAGATAAAGGGATGGAGATATGATAAAGTTGTGGATATTTTAATCATGGGGAAATTGTTTCTACTTGCCAGGTATGCAACTACCCATTTATTTCTTTCATAGCCTTAGCCGTATCATGAGCACACCTGCAATGTCATAATTCTAAATATTAATTTGTAGGTGTAGAAAACGTTATAATCATCAAGAATTATGGATTTAAATGAATAAAACTTTGGTGATAAGTTATGTTATAATAGATTTTGGAAAAAATTACTATTTATGAGAAAATGAGATTTAAGACAATATACTACAAACACTCAAACCTCTTTCTGTTTTTCTCATATTTTCTTCAAATTATGAATCCAAATGAAAATACTCCACCCACTTTAAACACCCTAACGACCCTAAACACTCCAAATGATCCATATGCACATCTTGGTTACAAGCAAATGTTAATATCCTCATCCAACAACAATCTCTATTCACCAACCTTCCATACCTGCCTAATTGCTCCCAACAATAAGGACCACAACAATTCAATCACCATAATTCCAAGCTTTTCAACAACAATCTTCTCAACAATTTCATCCATAGCCTTCTCAACCCTAACAATTTCAAACACAACCATCTCAATTTCCATTTTCTTAATCCCAACCTATAAACCTTGACAATGATGATGACAAAAGGGTCCAAGAAACACAACCACTATCTAGAAGAATGCAATAGAAAGGAAAAGGCAAAAAAAAGAGCTACGGGTTGGAGCAAAGAAGATGAGAAAACTTTATCGAAAGCTTTGATTTTCATATCGCAAGACGCGCAACCGACAACACGCAATCGATACAGTTTTTGGAATCGTGTTTTAGACCACTTTCAATCGCTATAATGCTAAAGGGTATAATCACTACATTCCCACAAGAAAAGTGTTGCCACATCTGCGCTACGTCTTCTCCACTATATGTTCACTACCACACTACTACCTCTTGGAAATGGTTACAACTCAACATTATTTATCTTTTTATTTTTTATTCACTATTAGAATATACACATTTAATGACACGCAAACTATGACACACACACACACACTGTTTTATGATACGTATTTTTACGTGCCCTAAAATTAATGTCACCCCAAAATAAAAAAAAAACACGAAGGTACCCATGATAAAAACGCGTGTCATGTACATTATGTAGTTTTATATTTTTTTTTTAACAAAACATGCGTCCATGAATTCTTTAGCACATAGTCAGACTCTATGGCTTTTTTCATAATTCTTTGATTAAGTACTATATGCATTTCTCCTTTTCGATCTCTCTCTCAAAACGTCAAACAGGTTGAAAAGATTCAAGACGGTGACTTATGGGAAAGAATAGGGTAGCGATGTTGGCTCCAAAGAAAAAGGACGCCATATCGGTGACTTTAGACGGCTAGGAGTAGGCAACGACACTTGCCGTTATTCCGATGTGGACTACCAAAAACGACGTTATAACGGCCGAAACACCGTGCCCCATATGCGTTATGGTATAACGTGTTATTGTGGTAACGCTTGAAAACGACAATTTTTTTGATGCAAATTCAATTCCAATGTATAAATTTCGATATTGAATCGTTGTAAAACGGTCAAAAACGTTAAAAAAATATTTAATTTTTTCAATCTTTTTACCTCTTTTACAACTGTAGATATACGTATACATCTACTTTATTTTTTTTTATCTCATATCAAACCATATTTCAAATCTTCAAAAAATTTGTAATTGAATACTATGGATCAAAACAGCATCACCCCTTCTTCAAACACAAATATACTTCCTCCTCTCGGTTTTGCAGAGTACAATGTACCAGAACATCCTCAAGACTCAAGACTCAGGCTGGAGGGAGTGGAGCCACACTCCCTCCCATTACCGTAGTTTCCTTAAAACACTAAAGGGGTGGAAAGAAGAAAGAGAAAGAAGAGTGAGATAGGGAGATAGAGGAAGAGAGCGCTCCCTCTCATTATCACACTCTCTAATTGCACTTCCAAAACCGCATGGAAGGGATAGTGTTTCAGTACCACATCAGCTGCACTTTCAGCGAAACCGTACCCCCCACCCTCCAGCCTCAAGACCAAGACAACTTCGCCCCTTCCTCAAAACCTTTTCAACTCATTTGGGAAAGCGGTTTTGGTGGTTGGTCTTTGCTCCACCGCAACCCCTCTCACAAAATTTTTGATTGCTCACCGCAACCGTTTTCACAAAATTTTCCACAAAATTTTAAAAAATCGTTGTTTCACATTTCAGTTATTCATATAAATCCCCGATTATTCAATTCGATTTCGAACTCTACCTACATCATCATCCTGGAAAAACCCTAGCACATCATCCCTAAAACACCCAATAGAAAAACCCAGATTTAAATCCCTAATTGATTCAGATAATGATGATGACGAGAACTCGGATGAAGTCGCACCTTCTTCACCTTCCGGTTTGACTTCATGGTATCGTTGATTTAAAGTTTTAGGTAATATTTCTTGATACTGTTATCCTCAGATCTCTTCAACTATCTTCACCTGATCGCTTTTTCTTCCATCACCACCGGTCCTCTTCTTCTTCACTCGATTCCAGGATTGATTCATGAAATTGATTTCACAAAATCTATTTACAAAATAGAACGGGCATTTGGGCACATAAAATTAAATCGGCCTTGTAATTGCAAAAAAGAATCGTATGATAATCCGATTCGAAGCTCTTCGCAACTGAAACATACAAATCGATTCATATATGCAGTTACATTTGGCGCCTGTAAATGGAAGCTATCGGGCGTCAAAGAAAGCGTAGGGATCCATGGAGGTTAATTGGCCGGAGCACAGTGTCCTTCATCTGTGTTTGCTTGGCGCAATTAGCCCTTTACCTGATATCTTCCTTCTTCGCCTCCTCCAGTATTATCATACCTTTCCTATTCTCAGGTTCTCTATCTGTATATATGGTAGTGGTGATGTTTATTTTAGCAATTTCGAATTAATTTTGAGGTTTTTCTATGCTCAGTAATGGCATTGATAGGAATGGCAGCATTAGGGAGAAGATGCAAGAGGTTATTTAGACTCCGTGGTTCAGCTCCAGCCTTTGTGATTACAAATCTATTCTTCATTTGGTGTTCTTATGTGATTGTAATTCGACAAGGTAACCTCTTGATTATGTTTATTTAACTTTAAAATTGATAACCAAAGCTAACATCTTCTTTCATGTTTATCCAACCAACTACTCTGTTTCACAGCTGTCTCTTCTTTATTGGACATTGTCTTCAATGTAGAGCTTATTATGCTCCAAATTGGTCTATATAGGTCTGTATATATATGTTACATCTTGCTTAATACCTGTTCTTATAGTCAAAATTTCATTTCACACATAATACATGAGTGTCTTCTTAATGGCAGAATCCTATCAGGTGATCCTGGTTTTGTTAAATTGCTAAATGTTGATGATGAGGTTGCTATTAATTATACTTCCTTTACTTTTGAGGTGTTATATATAAACTAAAGATATTGAAGTACTTATTATTTTTGTTATAACAGAGTCCATTATTACTTCAAAGGGTAAGACATTGTAAGCATTGTGATGCATATGTTAAGGGATTTGATCACCATTGTCCTGCTTTTGGGAATTGTATAGGTAACAACTTTAACACATTATTACAGTTGAATGTTATGTTAAAAACCATATTTAGATAATTTATGATACTACTGTTTTTTTGTTTTAATACAGGCCAAAACAATCATCTACTTTTCATGATTCTCCTAACAGGATTTATAACAGCTGAGGCTTGTTACATCATGGGTGCATCTCAAAGTAAGCTTACAAGATTTATAATTTTGCTTATGTTGAAAGCTCATCTTTCTCACATCTTCATCTTAAATTCCAGTTTTGTCCGAGAGTAAACAGAAGGTATGCCACTGTTTTCCCAATGATTTTGAATCTTGTTATATGGCAAACTTGTAATTATTTTGATTTTGTATCCAGAAGGGTGGTTGGAATGAAACATTAGTTTCTAGCACAATGATATTTTCCATTCTGCAAGTGTTATGGCAGGTGTATATTTGGTTTCCATTACATTCTATTCTTGGAGATATACTTATATACTTTATATACTGACCTTTTATTTTATGAAATTATTAGGGGGTATTTCTGGCATGGCATATATATTGTGTGTGTTTCAATATCAGAACAGATGAGTTTGTAAGCTCTATAATCTTTATGTTACCATTGGCTGGATTAATAATGTTTAAAAATATTTGAGAAAATGATGTTATAATTGCAGATACACTGGAAAAGATATCCAGAGTTCCAGCATATTGTAGAGCTTCAACCAGGTAAATTTAATTATGTTTATCCATTATTTTAAACAAAAAAAAGACACTTTGACTTTTGAGCCAAAGGTATTAATATATTATATATGAGAAGTATATGTAATATGTATGCTGCTGTTATAAGTGACCATTTACTGAATTGTATTTGATCATTCAGGGGAGACGATAACAACAACAAAGTTTATAAATCCATATGACAAAGGAATTTTGCAGAATTTGAAGGAGTTCATTGATGCCAGAGGCTAAGTGAATTGAAGTTTATTGTATATGGTGTTTATAGAGAATTATTATCTGTTGTGATGGAGCTGTTGATGATGACATGGAAAACATCATTGTTGCTTAGCTTCTATATGTTGATGTTATTGAATCTAACAAGGTTTGACGAGACCTAGATCCGTGTCTTTCTTAATTTAAATGTTGTAGAGAATTTTTAAGTGATGCATTGAACATGATTGACAGGATATTGTGATGTATGTGAACTCTCTTGGAGGATTGATGGTATGCCCATCTTTGATACCATGAAGCATATGTGAAACAAGGTGTCCCTTATTAGCAATGTAGTATCAGGTTATATAGTTAGGGAAAACCTCTTAATAACAATGTACTATCGGATCCCCTTAATATCAATGTATTACAATTTTTTGATAACTTCTTAAATGCATATCGTTATTGTATGAAATTGTTTTCTTTTTTTGGTATATATTTGTTTATATATTTTTGTATTATGCGCAAATGAGTATCTTAAAGACACATTGTAAATGCATATCGTAAATGGTTAATGAAGTTTATGACACGCGAATGCGTGTCATCTTCATTTATAACATGGGCTTTAATGATATGCAATGCACGTTACATGAGCGTGGTAAGGTTACGACACATAAATACGTGTCGTCTTTCTTTATTTATGATAGGGCATTCATTGACATACAATGCGTGTCGTATATGTGTATCGTAAATGCGCGTCGTAAGTTTATGACATGCAAAAGCGTGTCGTCTTCTTTTATGATATGATCTTTGACATGCATTTGCATGTCATTTGTGACTTTTATGATACGCAATGCTTATCATTAAAGGGTATTTTTTGTAGTAGTGATTTTTTTGGCATTAGATTAAATAAAAAACATAATTATTAAACATAAATAATATTTTATATTACTTAAAAACCTATTACATTACTTTAATAACATATAAATTTATAAAATAAATTATAAAAAAAATATAAAATCATAGAAATTTAAAACCTAAATTGCTAAAAAAAATATAAAAACATAGAAAATAATAAGTATTAAAATACTTTAGAACCTAATTGCCATATTTGTAACATTTAGGCCTTGTAAGTTTCCTGTTTAACCTTCATAAAACAAAATCTTTGCATTATTAGTCCCTTGGCTAGTACGCGGGGCGTAATCTATGAGTACACTTAGCGTACTAGCTGGAGCTTGATCGCGGGCATCGCCACGTACGTTGGGCGTACGTGGGGTTACACTGGGCGTACTCATGCCAGAGGCAAACCTTAATTTTTAGGGTTTGCACCCTATTTAAAGCCCTTACGCCCCTCATAATCTTCAACCTCTCACCCTCCATTGTCCTTTTAGTGTCAAATTTAAACCCTAACCCTCTTGCATGCATTTTTGAGCTTACCTTGGTGATTTTAGTGATCTTTCTTGGTTTTGAAGAAGAAGGAAGTTTGGGAAGAAGAAAGGAAAAAGAAGGAGCTCGTAGATGCAGAAGTTTGGCACCATTTCTAGGTCTTTGAAGGTATAAAGTTTAAACCGTGTCCATTATAAGCACATATCTAGGTTTAGGGTAAAATATGACATCTTTTGGTCCCATGGTTTGACTTCTTAGTGTATGAGAAACTTCAAACCATTTGAGCTGTCCTTTTGGACTCTTGGAGGTGTTTTGGGTCATAAAAAATCTTATCTTGATGGTTAAGCCACAACCATGCAAGAGTTAGGAACCATCTAAGTGTGTTTATGGACTTAATTCATGGTTTGAGTCCCATCCATGCATGAAAAAACATAAAGTTTGCAACTTTATGGCTTAGGATGTTTCTAGGGGCTTGGATCTAAGTTTTGGACGTTAGGTCTTAATGGATTAAGTTATGGAGGTGGTTTTGGGTTGGCAGATCCGTAAGCTGGGTGTACTCCCATGTACACTGCACGTACTGGGTCAACACCAACGTACATTAGGTGTACATGCTAAGTACGTCGCACGTATGCAGTCAGTGGGTCAAATGGATTTTGGGCTCTCGGTTTTGTTGGGACTTAGGCCTAACCTGTTGTAAGAAGGCATTTTGGGCCTAGGACCATGTTAGATGTCTTTGGGCCATATTGAGCCTTAGAATCCTTTTGTTGGGCTTGTATACTTTTGGGTTATTATGGATTTGGGCCTTAAAGTAAGGAGGCCTTATAAGGCAATGATAAAGGAACCTTTTTGCCTTAAGTCAAGGATTAGGGTATTGGACCTTCGGGTTAGAATGTGACCTAATTGCTAATTAGGATTTTATGCTTGTGCGATAGGGATATGAGTTCGTGAATCATCCGTTGAGTACGATTTGACACCTACAGTTTGAGGTGAGTCTTCCTTCGCAGTAGCCGTAGGTCGAAAGCACCAAGGCCAACCCATTAGTTTATGTATAACGTGATGATTATCTTTGTGACTGTCAGTTATGTCTGTATTTGCTTGATGATTATGTGATTTCTGTTATTGTATTATGTGGTAGTAGTAGGGGTGAAATAGACCCGATATCCGGTTGAAATAGACCGAAAGGTACTGCAAGCACCCATATATGTTTGATAGTATCCGGTTGATATAGACCGAAGGGGTAGTCAAGCAGCCATATATGCCTGACGGTATCTGGTTGAAATAGATCGAAGGGGTAGGCTGGAACCCATATATGCCTGACAATATGTTTGTTTAGTATGTGGTATTTTGGGGAAATTCGCTAAACTTTGTGCTTACAGTTTTTAGTTTCTGTTTCAGGTTCTTCTAGTTCAAAAAGGAAGGGCCCAATTTGAGCACACCACATCACTCTATGTTTTTCCGCACTAGTGACTTTTGGGACTTGTACTTGGATAACATTTTGCTATGATGTACTTTTGACTACTTTGATGTGATTATCGTATGATTAACTTGAATTTAAAATTGAAAATTTTATCTGAATTTTTGGGCTGTTACAATATTTTTCGCGGACTTGGTGTTGAATTTTTAAAAATGTTGTTAGATTTTCCGGGTCGAGATTCGGTTGAGGCTTTGTGTTTATAATTTGAAGATCGGTAAGTACTATTTTTTGGCGATTAGCTTCCTCCATTTTTTTCATTTTTTTAAAAGAAAAAGTATTGTTATATATATATATATATATATATATATATATATATATATATATATATATATATATATATATATATATATATATATATATATATATATATATATTCTTTTTGAAATTATGTCTTTGTTACTCGCTTTTCTAGAGGAAGATGCCTCCCGTTTCTCTTTGTCCTTTCCCGCTGGTCAACGAAGTTGGACTTCCGGTGGAGCCCCCCCTCCCTCCCCCCCTTGGCGCCGTCGAAGTCATCATTGAGGTTGAAGCCAAAACCCACATCTGACTCGGAAGTTCGTGAGCTTTTGTTGGAGCCGGTGCTTGATTCCGAATGCGCCGTATCCAGATTAAGGATCCATTTTGGGCCCTTAAGACAAACATCCCACATTTTTTGGTGACTGAATGTTTTACTGCTGTTGGTAAGCTTGTATCGGTAGCATGCAGTTGATAAAATATTGAATTTGTGCATATTATAAGATTTTCAAATATGACATTAAATTTGGTGCAAGCTGCTCGTAGGCCACGCTATTTTCCATTAACTGCATTGTAGGTCCCTTAAATTTTCCTTTGTAATAACAAGTGAAAGTGGTTCAAAACACGATTTCAAAATGTAACATCCCAAAATTCAAGGCCAAAAATTTCATTTTTAATTAGGTTATTACATAAAATCAAAGTGTGAATAATCAAAATATAATATTATAAAACAATATCAGAGTATAATCCCAAGGATCTCGTGTACGGAAAAACATAGTGTGATGCGCTGCGATCAAGCAGACTCCTTTCCTTTGAAACAAAGTACTTGAAACCAAAACTGTAAACCGTAAGCACGAAGCTTAGTGAGTTCCCAAAATAACACACATACATATTAGCCACTCGAGGCTATAGCTCTATAAGACCTTCCGATCAATGTGTCTCAGTGGGACCCTCCGGTCCTACAACTCTGGTAGACCTTCCGACCCTACCATGGCTTGCCTTTAGGCCTCAACTCTGATCGCCTTCCGGCCATAACTTTGATTGCCTTCCGACCATAACTCTATCGACCTTCCGGTCCCAAATTATACAACATATACATAACACATAGATAAGAACATATATCACATAAAGAAAATGCATAACATCACATAGATAAAATGCATAATATCACATAACTCGTGTAAGCACATAAGACGTTCCGGTCACACATAATTACCACTCTAGGTAAGGTATATTGAGAAGACTCACCTGACACTACTGAAGTCCCGCAGACTCAATCCCCCACTGATGAGGTCCTGCAGACCCAACCCCAACTGCTAGATGACATATACCCGATCTGTCAATCATCAAAACATCACCCAATTAATTAGGTCCTACTACCTAACCATAAGTAACTACTTTGGATAATTACTACTTTGCCTTAGGCTTGGCTTTATTTAAGCCCAAGGCCCAATCCATAGGCCTAAAGTTAATTAGGAATCAAAGCCCAACACATGGCCTAGTTTTCCAAATTGGGCCCAATCCTATACATGGTCTTATTCTAAGGCCCATCCTCATATAATCATTAAGGCCCAAACTGTGGCCCAACTATGGCCTAGTTTTCCAAATTGGGCCCAAACCCCTTACATGGGCCTTACCGTTGGCCCATTAATTTATTCTAATCCATTTTCTTGATCTTGGATGGTCCATTATTATCTTAATCATTTAGGCACAATAGAAAGGCCCAATAATAAACCCAAGTGAATCTAGGGTTTCACATAAAATGATGATTAGGGTTAAGTTTCCTACTTAACCCTTTAAGGACTTAATCCATTAAGTCCAATACTACTAACCCGAGGGTTTGCACCCTATTTAAATACCCTAACTCGGCCTACTTCATCCCATTTTCTCCCAGAAGACACCCATAGCAAACCGTAGCCGTTATTGAAGCAATCTAAGGCATTTTGAGTGATTTTGGTGCTTTTGTGACCCAAGGAAGGAAGGAAAAGCTTGAAGGATCAAGAGGAGGCTAGAAGGATCCGATTTTGAGCATCATTTGTAGTCTACAGAAGGTATAAAGTCTATACCTTGTTTATTCTATTGATAAATCCCATTTTGTGGAGTTTTAGGGCTTTTCTAAGCCATTTTGGTCACCAACCATGATTGCAAGCATGGTTAGGGGTTGATGTTTCAGATCTAGGACCTTAGAGGGGTTACAAGGCAGAAAGGAGTGGCTCTTGCACTCAAAAAAGGCCCCATGAATTGTAAGAGATTGTTTTAGGACCTTTTGAGCTCAAAGTCCCGTGCAAGCA